TCTATTCTATTCTATTCTATTCTATTCTATTCTATTCTATTCTATTCCACTCCACTCCACTCCATTCCATTCCATTCCATTCCAATCCATTCTATTTTCTTCTAGAGCAGTTGATAATTTAGGCAGACCCTCTATTGCTTTCCCTACCTTACTTGTGTTCAGAAATATGAGGCCACACTTTATCCCAGATCAGTGTTACTCTTGGATAAAGTGATTTAACCTCAGAGAGACCAACTTTGGAGTTCCTGCTCTCCTGTGAATATGAATAGTCCAATTTTGACCATGCGGGATCCTTGGTGCTCTCTGAGCTTGGTGAAGAGCATTGATGATATTCCCTAGTTTGATAATGAAACATCTTCAAGAAAACCAGCGAGCTGAAGGGAGCACCAAGGATCCCACAGTTCAACCCAGAACTATGAATTTTCTCTTCTCTTGAATCTAACCACACCTGGTTTTGTGTAATGATTGTATTCACCCCATAGGCTTAAACCGGGCATTGAATGATCCCAATTTGTGACATTTTATTTATTTTATTTGTCAATCGCTTACAAGATAATAGGTATAAGCAGGGGCGGGATTCAAATTTTTAACAACCAGTTCTGTGGGCATGGCTTGGTGATCATGTGACTGGGTGGGCATGGCTTGGTGGTCATGTTATTGGCTGGGTGTGGCCAACTCAACATCACTCACATCGAGGCACGCATCTCCTTGCCTGGCCTCTCATGACTATGGGGATGCTGCAACAGTCGTAAGGGTGAAAAATGGTCATAAGTCACTTTTTTCAGTGCCATTGTAACTTTGAATGGTCACTCCATATGAGCAAAGTACCAGCAAAGGAGGGGAAAAAAAACTCCAGAGACGTTCCTGAGACAGGAAGTCTAGTCCTGCCAAGAATGTAATAAGGGTTAATGGAGAGGCATTTTTGGTAAGCTACACCAGAATGTTTCCTTCCTGCCTTCCTTACAGGATTAGGCCAATAATTTATTCTAACAACCGATTCTCCAAACTGCTTAGAATGTTAACAACTGATTCTAGCGAATAGGTGCGAACTGGTAGAATCCCACCCCCGGGTATAAGTATAAACATAGTTATGAATACATGAAATGGATACACATAAGAAAAATAAAAATAAACAATAGGACAGAGACAGTAGGCACATTGGTGCGCTTATGCACGCCCCCTACAGACCTCTTAGGAAAGGGGTGAAGTCAATAGTAGACAATCTAAGGTTAAAGTTTTTGGGGTTTGGGGAAGAAACCACAGAGTCAGGTAGAGTATTCCAAACATTGACCACTCTGTTGCTGAAGTCGTATTTTCTGCAGTCAAGTTTGGTGCGGTTTACCTTGAGTTTGTATCTGTTGTGTGCTCTTGTATTGTTATGGTTGAAGCTGAAGTATTCATTGACAGGTAGGACATTGCAATGTATGATTTTATATACTGTATTTAGATCAGATCAAGGGCAGCATAATTCTAGGTTTTCTAGGTCTAGAATTTCAAGTCTGGTGGCATAAGGTATTCTGCAACCAGTAGAAGAGTGGAAAACTCTTCTTGTGAAATATTTCTGGACTTTCTCTACTGTGTTAATATCAGATACGTAATGTGAGTTCCAGACTGATGAGCTGTATTCCAGTATTGATCTAGCAAATGTTTTGTATGCTCTAGTTAGTAGTGTAATATTACCCAGAGAAAAAGCTACATAAGATTAGATTAACAACTCTTAATGCCTTTTTGGCTATGTAGTTACAGTGGGCTCTAGCAGTTAGATCATTTGAGATGAGTACTCCAAGGTCCTTGACAGAGTTTGGATCATCAACAAGGTCTTGACTATTCAGCTTGTAGTTTATGTTCTGATTTTTTTTTTTTTTTGCCAATATGTAAGACATTGTTCAATCCCTTGAATGCTATCTGTGGGGACCAATTATGCACGTCTCTGGCCATGGCTTGCAAAACAGGGTTGTCATCATTTTAACTTCTGCGCCTTAGCCCAGAGGTGGAGACCGTCTTCAGCTCAAGAAGCACGCATCAATCAGCTCAGTTCTCCAGCAATGTGGACAGACAATGCCATTAAATAACCACAACAGATTTGGGGTTTCACGTCACGTACGCTAAGATAGAGTTGGCCTAGTTGGTCATTCCATGTGATATGCAAACGCAACCTTTGTGCAGTATGCTCAGGCAAGTGAACCTTCAGGGCAATCACTGAAGTAGACGAAAGGGATGTCTAAGATGACCTTCTCAGCCATTCTGACTCTTTTTCACAAAGATCCACTCCATTAGGAACATCCTCTGGAGGCCCACTATTGCCTGACTGACAACAGAATATTATTCAAGTCAAGAAGTCTCTGACAGATTGAGGGAGGGAGACGGGACTTGGAATATTTTCCACTTGTCAGTTGCACAGCCTAAATTAATTGCCCATCAGGAGAACGGCTGCACTCCGGTTGCTAATCTCTCTGGGTATGCAGCTATAAATTTTTCCTCACAACCTATTAATAAACTATAATAGCAATATTCGGAGAATAAATGGTCCATAATCTAAAGTCTTCCAATGACAGGACAATCAAAAGGAAGGTGAATTATGAAGGGGAAGGAAGAAGCAAAGCCAGATAATAGTTATATTGTATGGCGTAGAAACATTTGTGGCAATTACATCATGGCCTAGACAGCGTTCTGAGTGCAGCAGAGTCCATCTTCTTTATTATTATTATTTCAGGGACAAACTGGAGAAATGTTTAAGCCCAGAAATCTTGAGGATGTACACAGATCTCCCTTTAAATGACTGCAAGAAACTGCCTTGATGGATATCCCCAAAGTGTGGTTGTAAAAATCAAAGAAGGGTGGAGGACAATGGGGTGATTCTTTTTTTAGGGGTGTCAGAGCCACCATCTTGATTGAGCACATCTGCAGATATTCCCCCGTCCCCCCCGATTCTGTCCAAACTGTAAGCAAACTGACTTGGGTTTGTCTTAGTTTCTTTGGATCTCTTTGTTTCAAACAAGATCCCAGTTTAACTAGTGGTGGGATTCACATTTTTTTACTACCGGTTCTGTGGGCGTGGCTTGGTGGGTGTGGCAGGAGAAGGATACTGTAAAATCTCCAGTCAGAGGTGGTATTTGCTGGTTCTCCAAACTACTCAAAATTTCCGCTACCGGTTCTCCTGAACGGTCAAAACCTGCTGAATACCACCTCTGAGTTTAACCATTGCATCTGCTTTTTAATTTTTTTAAATAAAATGTAAAAGACAATACTTGAAAATGAAAAGGAAAGAAGAAAAAAAGAAGAAAGAAAAGAAAAAAGAAAATAAAATAAAGAAAGAAGGAAGGAAGGAAGGAAGGAAGGAAGGAAGGAA